AGGTCGAGAAAAAAAACCTGTTCGAAACCAACGGATATATCGCGATCTGTAAACATATATAATAAACATTAACCCCGGTTAACAGTTACAGTTACAAAACATTGTTTTAGTTGCTGACTTTTCGGTTACCTTAAAATTTTCAGGTCCCAGAAGCAAGGTGAAGTCAGAACTGAAAACCGTGGAACAAGTGGTGAAGGAACGAGTCAGGAAAGAACGCGTTATACAGTTTCAAAAGTACAGAAGGAACATGAAAATGAAGCGGAACCATGGCAAAAAAAGATGACCAGCTCTTTACCGCCGCTGAATGCGTCGTCCTTGTATTTTCTTGAATTACGGCCTTTTACAGATTGTAATGGTTTCGATCATCATCTGAGCGTTTTCAAGAAAGTAAATTTTGTGTTGGCGAATTTCCGTAGCGTTGAAAATACTGATCGAAACACTGAAAATAGTAAATATCCGTACAGTAATCATAAGCTTGCCTTGTGTATGTTATACTCGTAAGTAGTCGAACTTCAGAACATCGGAGAAGGGGACATTTTAGGTGTTTTCAGCGGGTCGTCCTACAAAAATCTAAAGTTTGCAGTTTCACATCGGTCCCTGGTTTGAGACTCTTCTGAAGGAGAAGTGGCTGCTCTTTGGCATGAAAGACGAAAGAACCGGACAGCGCTTCCGGACAACAGCAAAATAATAAAATCATTAACACTTCGCGAAGGGAATGATCACAACCCAGGAAACATGGCGTGACAGTATTGCACTAACTTGTACCTCACCTTCTCAAACCCCTGAACAGAGGACCGTTTATCATTTTTATAGTAAATGTCAAATGAAATCCATTCCTCGTACTGGCATAAGCTTTGGTTCAACGACTAGTGACTTACCTTGCGGCGACGAATAATTCATGTAATCGTGAAGAACTCAACTACTATTGGGTGATGGCAGTATGGGCAGTTCCGCCAGCCTTACTCAGTATCTCATATACAAGATTCCATTCTCAGAAGTTTAACAACTATATCACAAGAAGTCAGTCTGACTCAACGAAAATAGATTGATTATTTTTAAGAGAATATCTAGTCATATAATCACTATAACGTACATTTACATACTTCCTTTCTATCCAGTCAGTCAGTCAGTTTCGATGATCTTGTATTACTTCGGATCGCGGTTCACTGATCTATGCCGGAATAATTAAGGCTGAGCAATCGGTGAGAAATCGAATCTGCAATGTTCATTATCTTCCATGATTGCTTATTCTTTCAATTCGCGGAATCTGCTGTTTCAACTGCGATTTTGTGCTAGACCAGGCTATCCTCACCATTACCAAAAAGCAAAAGCTATTTATGAATATTAATGGCATAATCAACCAGCAAAATGTCAGTAACGGCATAGCGAATGCTGCCCGCTAAGGAGCGCATATGGAACAGCGACACTATACGCCGTGCATAATTCAGAGCTAAAACACAGGTAAACTGTCACTGAGTGATTGGCTTCGGTACTATCGCTAGAAAGTTGTGGACAGAATTATGTTCGAAATATGATGAATATACATAATCATGAGGTAAATATGATTACGCAATCCCGCATATTCCTTGTGTACACATTAACAAGACCTTCATTTCCTATTAACTTCACAGCATGCCGTTTAATACCAACCCTAGCGCAAATGTGTAAAGTGACGCTTCAACCTGATAGCCGACTTCGCTGAAATGCCGAAGTTTCTCCATAAGATCTGACAGGGGAATAATGAGAACGTCAATACTTTCAGTTTCGTCGAGTTTTTGCACCACGTTTCTGTTGCATTCGCTGTCGCCGTCGATTTCAAATACGAAGACGTTGACACTATCGTTTGTCAACCCCGGGTCTAAGTTCTGTATGCCAGTTGTCGATCTCAAAAGTCTGCTGGCCGTGTAACCGGTTTCCTCCTTTAGTTCGCGATGCGCGGCTTCCAGCGGCGTTTCGCCAACGTCCACCAAACCGGAAGGAAACTCAATACTGTATGCCATTATCGGTATGCGGTACTGCTTCACGAGAATGATGCTTTTGCTGCAGTCATTGCCGTCCTCGCCCTTTCTCTTCTTAAGAATTGCAATCACAGACACGCCATCGACTACACTACCTGCCGATCTGGTGCTGCGGTAAGGGATCTGCCAAACGTGCGGAGACTCCGTTGGCGAGCCACGCTTTCTGAAAAACACTTGCTTCGCCGACAACCATTTGCCATGAAACAGTTCCTCCGCTTCCAATATTTCGAACGGCGGCGTTTCATTGTTGTCATCCATAGTGCTGACGGCAGCTGAAAAAACGTCATGCTTACGAGATATAAGTGTTATTTCTGGACGCGGAAACTCGATTTCACAAATTTTTTTGTGATCTTCGGGTTAATGATCTCTGGACTTTAGCGTCGAATGAAAGATTTTCAACTTCCAGGAATTCAAACATGACGTCCATGACTGGAGAAAGAGCAAAAACGAAACTGCGACTGCAGCCAGCAAGTACCTCGTAATGCAGTCTAACTCTTACTGTACCCGTAAAAGTTTGTCAGGAGCCCTGAAACGGAAGGATGAGACCACGGTTACGAGAGGATCACAAACCTCCATAAATCTTTAAGGAAAAATAGGTGTCTTATAAAGATATTCTTTTATGTCGCTGGATCAAGCACCACTCTGTCCTGGAAAATAATTTACTGCATGAGCGAAGGCCTACGGTGTCAAGCCACCTATCGATGAGTGAAGACTGTTCATCCGTCTTGTAGAACTGCTCAATGCACCTAACGGGATCACCAACTGCTTTCCCAACAGATATTACACTGAGCTTTATCACTGACAGTGAAATTCATATAGGTTTTCAGGTAGGCAACTAGCAGATAGAATGTGCACCTGCCAGAGATTGACGTTACCAGGCATTGTCGTCAGCTGAACACAACGATTACAAACCTGTACTCAAGAACTCAAGACCACCATCCAAGGTAATTGTGAAAAGATTATCATGAAATTATTCCAATATGCCTCTGCAATCTGAACAGAGTAATAATTTCGAGCGTTAAATTTAAGAAAAGATTTATACGACAGTTAATGGATGACATAGGAACAAAACGAAATTAACATCATTTTCGCCTTTACAACTGCACGATAGCGGGAAAGGTGGAGGAAAATTGTCATATCATCAGTTCTCTGAAGAGACCAGGAACGACTACTATTGTTTTAGCGTTTACGCAATAACGCGAGAGAAGTTAAAACTTTTCAAAATTTGTGCATCAGATAGTTTACCAATTCCTGTAACTTTTCCCCCTCATATTAACGATCAGCTGCGCTAGACAGACAGAAAACTTTAGAATAGACTGGAAGCTTCAGTACTAAATGGCTTGCAAATCGGCCCTCTTCGGCGGGCGTTCACGATCCACACTGCAAATATAGAGACAGCATCCATAAATCAAAACTTGGGGTCCTCATCACGAGGACATTCCACTTTTATACTGAGGAATTGTACGACAGGGAAAAATACACAATGGACTGTATATTCATGAGTCGTCCTGACAGATGTCACAGTCTGCCATTAACCCTAAAATGGTCCGCTTAGGAATCAGTCGTTATCATGAGTTAACAAAATTCTTCATGCTTTTAAGCAACTTTGAAGAAAAACGCCCACTACAAATACGAAAGAAAGATATCTGGGGATACCGTGCGCAAGAAAACTAGCGGAATGTCAAGAATATCATGTCGTATACCGTCTGAACAATGAATAACGGCTCACCAAAGAATATACGGAAGGTCGATTACAAACGACGTTGGACAAGTGACATCTGGAATTAACAGAAATGAGTATTAAGGACCCCGTAAAAAGACAAGACCGAAAATAGTACGTATAAGGAGGAGGGGGCGAAATCGTACACGTCGGGTGATCAAGCCGACATTTGTAAAGCACCTTCACAGCTCCTCCGCCAATCGCACTGGCCCAGTAGGCTTCCATGATATTCTTCTCTTTCAGTGGCCTAGCGTCTACATGCAGTTTCATTAAATTTCGTGAGTACCAATCCGCTAGAACCGTACTCTGTCTGCCATGTGGTATTCAAGCTATACGCCAAGCCGAACGCATTTCACTGTCTGCTTACTGAAGACCTCGTTCTGGATGCGGTCACGTTCTGGAAAACCCAGTATTATTTCCCATCGTCATCTCTGTCATCGTCTGCTGCCACTCTAGCGCTTTCCACAGTGATCATAATTCGCTGCCTCACAGTACTGCTCCTTTTACTTTCGAATTCAAAAGGCTTGCACTGCTTGGCTACAGATTGTCCTTGCAGGAATTCATTTACGAAGTTACATCTGCACTATCGAGCTTTCTTCCGCAGTGAGGCTTATCATGTCATGCTATATTGATAGTTACTTTTTGATCCCAACAAAAATTTCTTCAATACGTGTAAGTTTTTCTTTAAAGACTATCCGGGTTTTCGGCAGCAAATGACATTATACTTCTTTTGAAGCAAATATCCAGTCCGATATTTTCCATATTGAGCTTTAGCAGCATTTCTATGGCTCTGATGTCTTAGGCAACCAACACGATGTCATCTGCGAATATGAGGTAGTTCGACAGCTTACTCTTGACACTGATTTAGCCCGTGAAGTCCAACTCTTGAATACCTTCTCGAGGCAGGCCGTAAACAGATTTAGTGAATCTATATATCTTTGTTTCATGCCTTTTGCGACTGTCACATATCAGTGCGCAGTTTGCTTCCTTTGGTAGTTCAAGGTGTTTGGCGCCGATGTCCTGGCCAACAAGGGCCAATTTAATCAGTCACGACCCTGTCAGATGTCTTCCCGTAAGCGACGAAAGCAATGTACAGCAGTTTTCTGTATTCCATTATCCTTTCCAGCTGCTCAATTATGCGTTTCAGCATTCATGTGTTTAAGTTTCTTCGGAAACTTGCCTGTTCCTCTGACCCGTTAATCATAGAGACTGCACGTAATTCATTTTCTGCTCTCATTTCATGAATAGTTTCAGGACATATCAGATCAGGTAAATTGGATGGTGATTCTTCAGGTCATTGCGTTTCCTTTTCATGCAGTAACACGATGTCTGACCTTTTTTAGCTAGCGGCTATTCTCCGTTTACAGAAATTAACTGAATCGTCGGCAAGGGCTTCCTACAGGATGCATTCTCGCGCTTTAATAACTGCGACTGCGATTGCTTTTTTCTCCGCCTTCACCTGATAAATTACACGCTGAACTTCGATGATTAGCATCGGGAGTACGCCATAATTCGCCCGTTGAAGAGAATGACAAAAGAATTTTTGTTCTTTAATGGAACATCTTAATGAAGAGACCTTCACGTTGGCTTTCATCCGTCGTCTATAGACCACTTTACCTCACTTCCTGATTCTTAATGTCATCATAATCGACTTAAACAGTATTAATTTTAGTTTTCACTTTTTAAAACTGCTGCACTCGTCACCGACTATTCCTTACTTCGGATTTCGATGTTCCTTAAAAATATCTTTGAAGCGTCTTCTTATCAACTAGCACAGAAGGGAATATTCTGAATTATTTCCATAATCTTTCTTCGCATTCATAGAGCAAGTGCGTCGTTTCTTTCGACATCTTGTGCTAAATTCTGTTCAGCCATGTCTTGGCTGATTTCTTGCACTGCCTTAACTAATTTGTGAAGCTGTTCAAATGTTGTCAGAGTTATCCTTGAGGCTCTCATAAATTTTGAATACATTTTCTCGTCACATTGCTTCGCTAAATACTGCTAGTCTTCTTTGAACTGCCATCTGCAGCGCAGTCTTTCATGAGTTTTCGCTAGTGTTTAATCCTGATTTGAGTAAGTCGTGATCGCTGCATCTACTAGGGGATTGTGCTAATCGAAGTCGATTAAACCTTTAACTGATTATTACATGGGAGAGCAACCTGTCAGGTGAGTGACGGCAAAATGCAGCCACAGGAGCATTCGCACTAAACAGCACCATACATCTCATCCATTCTGGTATCATCAGACCAGAATACCATGCGCCTACTATTCACAAGTCATAGACCTACTATCCATTTCTTTGCTGCTTACACCGAAGCGGCTTTGGGTTAATTTTTCGGTTAACAGAATTCGCTATTAAGACAGATCGTCTCTTAAGAGGATTCGAAACCGGTATCTCCGGAATTCAAAACTTACCTCTTTAACACTGCGCCCCCTCGGCCACGATTAAAATGTCGCGCAAAATGTGACGCTTGATGATTAGAATATAGCCGATCTCGTTCTTAGTTTTAGAAAGGTTCAGTCAGCGCCTATCTTTCTCTGGTCTTCTTTCTCTCAACCATAATGAAAAATTCTGCTGTTTCAGCAAACGGTGCCGGTCGTTTCCTTCTCGAGTTTTTATCTCTGATGCCATATTTCATATGAACTCCTTCATATCGAAAAGTCACAGCTGTAATGGTTTGGGTACATCTTACAAATGCTTTCAGAAGGGAAGGTGAAACAGCTAATACCTGTTCAAGCGACTGGCAGGTGTATTGAAGGACTCCGATTCACACTCGGGATAGCTTCTGCTGAAGCTAAAACTGGAGCATAGAATGTGGAACGTTTAAAATACTGTAAGACGCATCTGCCTCGAAACTGACTAACTAAATTTTCGCCCTTTTGCCTGCGTCCGACCTCATAGTTAACGTCTCCCACTGCAACCGTATATCCAAAGTGATGAATTCTTCTGGCTCGGGGTAAAATAGCCCTACATTTTCGTGTGCACTCGCAAGCGTGGGAAGTGTAGGTCAAATTGATTTTCAGAGTGTGGTTCTTGTTCAGTTGGAGATGTAACATTCCGGTACATGAAGACATTCATTTGAACGAAATAATTCATAAATACAAGCTTTTGCTTATGACTCGATTCCTCCAAAGCATTTCGCATTTTCTCCTTTTCCCAGTATGATCAGGATTCACTTTTTGCAGTTCATTTCCAACTCTCGCTGC